ACCGTCCGTGCCTGGCAAAGTGGTCTGTAGTACGGGGCTGGGGTCGCTAGTTACGATGGTCTTTAGTTACAGGTTTTACTGTAATGGTCCAGTTGTGCTCAATGAAGTGAAGGGTTAATACATAAGTGCACGTTCCGGTGTTCGCGAAGCTCTCGAGAGGTGCAATGCCCAGCACTAGCTGGTTAAAGCTCTCCGATTGTCATTCAATGGCACTTCACACTGCAGGCGGGCTCTTTCCTTCATTAGGGACCTTTCGCATCTGCTGCGAAACGAAAGTTTGATTCGGCTCGCCCCCGTTTCTTTGAAAACAGATTCAGGTTTCGCAAGTCGTCATGCAAATGTCCATGGCAACTACGAATAGCTTGGCGTACGCGTGTTTACACACACATGTGCATAGATCCATGGAATCAAGGGAAAATGTGTACCTGGCGAAAAATGTGTACCTGACGGATTCGGAGCACACCACAAATGAAGAGGCTTCCATTCGTGAAAACGAGCTTGTTTGGATGCAAGCACCCAAACTACCAACAATAGCTCATAAACTCACACTGGAGTTATTGTCTTACTTCCATACTTTTACAGTCTTGATAATCATGAGCAACAACAGAGAAGGAAAAAGGAATCTGACTTGAAAACAACTAAAAAGCACAACAACAGCAACAGCTGAGAAAACTAAAGTCAAAACGGAACTATAAGCCGGAAAACTAAAGTCAAAACGGAACTATAAGCCGGAACTGTAGTGTAGCAACATAATGCATAGATACACGGGAAAAGAGCCGGCACACGCACGCAGCGCACGCGCACGTACGCCGCGCACGCAGCAAAGTGAAAGTCTAGACATCAGAGCATGAATACATGAATGCGTGACAGCAAGCGCGCCTCAGGCACCAAGACACAAGATCACTACAGACATAACAGAGAGATGAAACGCACACAGCAGATCCTAGACAAACACAAACTGGAGCATGCAGGCAACTGAACACAAGTCGGACAGAGCTGGATAGTAATTATAACACTGAATGCATGAGAGAGTAGAATCACCTGAACATCACCCCCTCCTTGAGGGACCATAAGCAGAATGGGAACGAAAACACTCTAAATCGCAATGTACTAATCGTCTGTAGCTTCACGAACAAGCAACAAAGAAGTAGAGCGTAATCTTCTCTATAGCAGACTGCCGTAACTCTTCTGCTCAGGGAGTGCGCACCGCATCTATCGGGATGAGCACAGTGATAGGTCGGCGGTATTGCTTCCCTTTCACCTTCACGTCGACAACACGTGTTCTTCCGTCGGTGCCTTCTTCCGTCGGTGCCTGGGTAGATCGCTTCGATCCTCCCGAGGGGCCACTGGCCGCGAGGAGTGTGCGCGTCCAGGACAAGCACCACGTCTCCAATCCGGATGTTGGGAAGGCTCTTCTGCCATCGTTGACGTATGTTCAACTTTGGGACCATCTCTTGTAGCCAGCGCTTCCAGACCGCGGCTAAACAGCTCTGCAACACCCTCCAGGCTTTGAGGTGGTACGCCTGGCCATCTTCCTCGACCGCGGTCATCACGGTCGTCGATCCCGCTAGAAAGTGCGAGGGTGTTAGCGGCTCCGGGTCTTGTCCATCTCCACTCTGGGCCGTTAGAGGTCGACGATTGAGCTGAGCCTCAACAGTGGTGAAGGCAGTCTGGAGCTCCTCATCAGAACACACAGCATTGTGCAAGATGCCGACCAACGCTCTCTTGGCACACTTGACCATTGCTTCGAAGACCCCGCCGTGATGCGGTGAGCGTGGCGGATTGAACCTCCACTCCACGCCTTTGCAGGCCATGGTAGCGGCAATCTGGCTGTTCTTGAGGCTTTCGATGGCTTCTCGTAGCTCACAATCTGGCTGTTCTTGAGGCTTTCGATGGCTTCTCGTAGCTCACGCTCGGCTGACACAAAGTTGGTACCATTGTCGGACACGACGAGATCCGGTACACCTCTTCTCTTCGCGAACCTGGTGAATGCCAGCAGAAAGCTCTCCGTGTCCAAGCCATACGCCATCTCAAGATGAACTGCTCTGCTCTGAAGACACGTCATCAAGCAGAGATAGCGCTTTGCTCGACTTCTTCCTCTCCCTTGCTTCGTCAGAAAGGGTCCGGCGTAATCCACGCCCACCCGACTGAAAGCTCGGAAAGGCTCCTCGGTGCGGAAGTCGAGTAGTGGTGCCATCAGCTGTTGAGCAGGCTTTGCCCAAATCTTCTTGCAGGCCGTACACTGGCTCCGGTGCCTTTTCACTGCCGCTGGGCCATGTACAATCCAGAACTTCGAGTTCAGGGTCGACAACAGGTGGTTGACGCCAGCAGTGTGATTGTGACCCATCCTCATGAGCGATTACAAGGGCTGTGACCGGATGCTTCGTTGGCAGAATGACGGGCCTACGGAGGCTGCTGGGAAGGTGATGTGCCGTGCTCAACCTGCCGTCCATCCGCAGTAGCTGAGGGTTGCTGTCATCCAGAACCGGTTGTAGGCGTAGCAGTGGACTTGACGCCGGGATGGACCGCTGACTTCTACACGCTTCAATCGTCTCATTGAACTCGTCTTGCTGAGCCTTAGCGAACCACACATCTTCAGCTGACTCCAGTTCAGTAACTGTGAGGGGCTGCACGAGAAACTTCTGCGTGATTGCGCTGTAAAGATCACGGCCTGGTGTTAAACTGGCAGTTGACATGTTCAACAGAACATTCCGCAGTCTGACGGCCAACTGCTGCAGCTTGTCGGAGTCCCTTTCTGAGGTGATCCGTGGAAGTGCTAGAAGTTCCTGCCGTTGGCGCTCGAGCTCGCGGTCATTACTCCCATACCACTCATCTAGCTCCTTGAGCGCAGCGCTGTATGCGCCAGGGCCATCCAGCAGATCCGCAATCAGGTCATCTGCCGTGCCACCTTCTAGAGCTTCCCTTAGACGGGCCATCTTGTAATCTTCTGAGACCATGTGGTCGTCGTCCACCAGCCTCAGAAACTTCTGCCTCCACCTGATGTAGTTCTTCTGTGAACCATCAAACTTGGGTAGTTCCAGTGGCTGGATCTGATGTTGGCTGATACCACTGAAGGGTGCACTCTGAACGCCCTGTACCCAGCTGCTCACTCTGTCAGCTTTTCCACGTGCTGTATCTGAAGCTGCCTGAGGCCACGATCTTCCCAAATGGCCTTGTACTACTGGAGTAATCTCCATACTACTACCACTAGGCTTGTCAAGCCCTACAGCGACCGGAGCTGGCGTCCTGTCAACACCGACAGTGGTGGACACTTGTGTTTCAGCAGGAACACTGTCCTGCTGTTCGGTCGCTTTGTCTGCGGTGGAGCCATCTCCATCAAGGCGAGAAACGCCACGGCTCTGGAGAGTCTCAGACTTGAGCTCCCCGTTCAACCGGTCGTCGGTTTTGAACGCTTGAGCTACAAAACCTGCAGCGGGAGGACCAGCGGTCGTCAGTCTCATCATCAGACGCCGCCATCTTCCCCGCAAACAACGCCAGGCTCTCAGCGCAGGTCTGAAATGACGCGTCAGTGGACGGCTCCGTCTCCTCCGGACGTCCCTCTGACTCTAGTTCGTCTCCTTCAATGGAAGCCAACTCGGCGTCTAGCTCCAGCTGCAGGATTCTTTTCTGTCGCTTGAGCTGCTGGACTTCAAACTCCTGCTCCAGCTTTGCTAGCTGCACCGCCGCCTTCAACTCCGCTCTGCGACGCCTGGAAGCAGTAGAGGAAGCGGACGATGTCAGGGAAGAGACACTACTCTTCGTATCGTCTAGCTCTGCCTCAGGCTCTCTGAACCTTACTGGGGGAACACCTTTCGTGCTCCTGCTACTTTTTCTAGGTTCCGCCATTTCTCTAATCACTGCACTGGTAGATCTACGAAATGACAACTCTCGAACCGATTCGGATCCACTGATCCGGCTCGAAGGACCAGATGTTTGGATGCAAGCACCCAAACTACCAACAATAGCTCATAAACTCACACTGGAGTTATTGTCTTACTTCCATACTTTTACAGTCTTGATAATCATGAGCAACAACAGAGAAGGAAAAAGGAATCTGACTTGAAAACAACTAAAAAGCACAACAACAGCAACAGCTGAGAAAACTAAAGTCAAAACGGAACTATAAGCCGGAAAACTAAAGTCAAAACGGAACTATAAGCCGGAACTGTAGTGTAGCAACATAATGCATAGATACACGGGAAAAGAGGGAACTGTAGTGTAGCAACATAATGCATAGATACACGGGAAAAGAGCCGGCACACGCACGCAGCGCACGCGCACGTACGCCGCGCACGCAGCAAAGTGAAAGTCTAGACATCAGAGCATGAATACATGAATGCGTGACAGCAAGCGCGCCTCAGGCACCAAGACACAAGATCACTACAGACATAACAGAGAGATGAAACGCACACAGCAGATCCTAGACAAACACAAACTGGAGCATGCAGGCAACTGAACACAAGTCGGACAGAGCTGGATAGTAATTATAACACTGAATGGATGAGAGAGTAGAATCACCTGAACAGAGCTCTCCGCAGGGCTTCTGACGAATCCTCGAACCCAGGTGACGAACCACCATTCGTTTCGTATCCGGACGCGTGGTGCGAAATGTCCCTATTGTCTGATGTGTACGATGTGTTGCGTGTTCTGTTTTAGATGAACAACCTGCTAACTACCACTCCGCCTGCTCCTGCCTCTTCTGGTATGGGGGGTGGTGGTGGACTGGGAGGTCTTGGCGGACTCGGGTTGTGTAAGTACACCCGCTATATAGAATACTTTCTCTCTCTCTCTCCGTCTCTGTCTCTCTCTCTCCGTCTCTCTCTCTCTCTCTCTCTCTCTCTCTCTCTCTCTCTCTCTCTCTCTCTCTCTCTCTCTCTCTCTCTCTCTCTCTCTCTCTCTCTCTCTCTCTCTCTCTCTCTCTCTCCTCTCTCTCTCTCTCTCCCTCTCTCTCTCCCTCCCTCTCTCTCTCTCTCTCTCTCTCTCTCTCTCTCTTCTCTCTC